TCGAGCATGGCTTGCCTGGCAGTGCCAAATCAGTTGGCCCCAGCAAAATTTGGGATGCCCTTTCCATTGCTCAACTCAGCTGCTGCCAGCACTGCCTGCTCGCTGTCCCCACCCGCAGTGCCATTGACCTCAGCAGTGCCCGTGATGCGAGGGATGCATCGAGCATGGCTTGCCTGGCAGTGCCAAATCAGTTGGCCCCAGCAAAATTTGGGATGCCCTTTCCATTGCTCAACTCAGCTGCTGCCAGCACTGCCTGCTCGCTGTCCCCACCCGCAGTGCCATTGACCTCAGCAGTGCCCGTGATGCGAGGGATGCAGGATCAGGGAATCGCAGAGACAGCATTTGCGCCTAGCCCAGAGTGTGATTAAGGCTCACTTTAGCTTGTGCGTGTGCCCACAGCCTCCTTCTGCCATTCAAAGCATCCTCCTGCAAAGCCACCTGCTCCGGAGCCACATCGCTGCCCTTGCTGGGGTAGAGATGTGCAAGCCGGGGTGGACCACAGTCCTGAGGAACCAAGCAGCCCTTGTGCAGAGATCAGAGAGGAGAAATAAGGCATCAGTGGGCTTATTCCCATAATAAGGCTATAGACTTGGAAGCTTTGCAGGCTGTGCTCCAATTACCTTGCCAAACTGTGCTTATGGCACTAGGGGCTGATGCTGGGCAAGAAGTGATGGTGGTAAGATGGGACAGTCCTGGCTGGCTTTTCAGTGCCATGGGGAAATCTTTGGTGTTTGGCATAGCACAGCCCTTTTGAGATGCAAACAGGTAGCCACCATCCCCAAGGGGCTTTGCCCAGGGGGGGGAGCCAGCTGGCTCTGGGGACAGCAGCTGCAGGGCCGGGGAGAAGGATGTCCTGTCCCCGTCCTCCCCCTTCCCTGGGGATGGATGGGCTTTGGGGCTCGGGTTCCCAGGGCGAAGGCAGGGAGGGAAGGTGACAGGTCTATTTATAGGCGGCCCATCGACCCGGCGATTTGCATAGCTCCTTCGGAAGTCGATCAATGCCTCCATTAAAAAACTGAGACCAAATCAATACGCCCTCTCGACTCGTGCAAAGGTGAAAGGCATTAAAAGGATGGCCGTACCCTTCACGCCTCCCCTGCCAGCTGCAAAGTCACTGCTCCTCCTGCAGCCCTGGTCCGGCTGAGACACATGGAGCGGTGTCCCCAGGCTGGGGACAGCTGGCAGCATGCTGTGCACTTCAGAGGGTGCCTGCCTGCTTCCTGCCTGCAGCTCGCCCAGACCTGCCTCGGTTTGCAGGGCAGCTGGCTTGTTCTCCACCGGCCTGCGCGTGCCCTGCTCGCTGGCCTGCCTCCTTTCTGGGACACCTCTGTAGCACCCAAATTGCTGAGCCACGCGGAGCTGGGCAAGGCAGAGCTGCTCCCCCTCCAGCACGGCTCAGGGTGGCAAAGGGACGTGACCAAAGTCACGCAGGGACACAGTGGCAGGGTAGAGGGGCTGAGGCTGGCTCTTAGAGTCGTGTCCTGATTTTAGGGCTCTCTCTGGCCCAGTCACCAGAGGGCATGTGCCCGCAGTGCCCAGTGTCAGGATGCATCACTGGGGTCTCCATCCTTGTGCCTGCCCCATCGCGGAGCCCCTCTGACCTCCCTTTCTCTTTCCTCCCGTTGCTCTCCCCAGCCAAGCTCATCGTGGAGACGGACACCTTCGGGAGCCGTGTGCGCATCAAGGGAGCGGCCACAGGTTTCTACATCTGCATGAACAAAAAGGGGAAGCTGATCGGCAAGGTAGGGCGCTGGGCTCAAGGGCATGGGCAAGCCAGGCAAGTGCCATGGGGGCTGAGCGGGGCTTGCCAGGAGAGGAGCCTCTTGCCTGACACGGAGCCCATCCGTGGGGATGGGGAGGCGAGATGGGGGTCCCGGGGGCTCAGCCAGCGCACCCCTTTGGAGGCAGGGGTCTGAGCCATCCTGCAGCCCAGGTGGCAGGAGGGAAGTGGGGGAGCAAGGGAGGCAGGCGGGTGCCGTGTGGGGCGCATTCCTTGTATCTCCCAGAACAAATAGGCGGATTGCTGGGCTATTCTCCCCGATTACATGGTACAAGTGCCAGGAATGTTAAGATGCTCCGTGGGGCTGGCCCTAAGGCCGGGCCCTGCCGTGCACTGGTTAGTCACGCTCCCTCCAAGCCTCGATGCTCCCTCCCTGGGGGCGGAGGGGGCTGGATGTGCAAAATTCTGCTGGGACAGCGATTGTCTGGGAGGGTTTTCCCTGGTGGCTCCTTCCCTGGGGCTGGCTGATGCAGGTCCCCTCCCTGGTCCTGCTCCTGCCCGTAATGGGGAGGAGCTCAGCCTCCAGCTGTCCCTGTGCTCCCTGCCACCTGCATCTGTGGACATCATCCCCATGGATGCCGCGTCGCCTCTTTGGCCCCTTGATGCCCCTCCTATATTAAACACCCAAGGGGGAATATGATGGGTGGGTGAATTGACACTGAGATGGAGAGTTTGCTTTTGGTCCTGCTGGCAGGGGAATCCAGCCCTGGCATGGATGGGGGCAGGATGGGAAGGGGCAAAAATCTCCCTGTGGGTGCAGTGGAAGTGAAGGCTGGGACAAGCCATGTTTGGGGCTCGCAGCCCGGTGGTGGCATTGTGCTGGGGATGCAAGCTGCAATGAGCAGCGTCTGCCTGTGCCACAACGCCTGCTCCCCCCAGCTTTTCTAATGAAAAGCAGATTTTGGGCAATTCAGACCTGTAGGAGAAGAGGTAGGAAAAGTGAACCCTTGGCTGCCCACAAGCACCGCAACCTTGCTGCCAGCCCAGCTGGTCCAGCTTGGGGCAGCGAGAAGAAGCCTCTGACCGAGCACCCGTTGCTTAAATCCCCACTCTGTCCCCTTCTCAGAGCAACGGCAAAGGCAAGGACTGCGTCTTCACGGAGATCGTCCTGGAGAACAACTACACGGCGCTGCAGAACGCCAAGTACGAGGGCTGGTACATGGCCTTCACCCGCAAGGGCCGCCCGCGCAAGGGCTCCAAGACCCGGCAGCACCAACGGGAGGTACATTTCATGAAGAGGCTTCCCAAGGGCCACCAGACCACCGAGCCCCACAGACGCTTTGAGTTCCTCAACTACCCCTTCAACCGGAGAAGTAAAAGGACTAGAAACTCCAACTCCAGGGCAGGCCCTTGACTTGCCTGCATCTGCCTGCCCTGCCTGCACCTCTCCTGGAGGACTCTCCTCCGAGCTTGGTGGACTATACGTAGAGACTTTCCCATATGGGTAATAAACAAAAAAAAAAAAAAAAAAAAAAGGGAGGGGGGAGGATTAAAAAAAACCCAAACCTTGCTCTAGTTGTTGATAATTTTGGGGGGGTTGTTCAGTTTTTAAAAAAAAAAAAAAGAAAAGAAAAAAAAGAAGAGAGGCTCTATTTTTGTACTCCAACTTTAAAAGAAATGAAAGACTGGTGAAGGGAGAAGAGCCCTTCACTTAGAAATGTTCTAGTCTGTTTTTGGGGTCACATTTTATTTTGTAATTTTTTTTTTTTTGTAGCTCTAGGGGGAAAGGAGAAAAAAATCACCATTTAAAACAAACAAGCAAAAAAAAAATGGAAATCCAAATCTGGGAGCAATGTGCTACTTAAATGAACTGAATTAACGCTTACTGGAGAAGATGGAGAGGTCTGAAAACAATTAAGGGGAGCAGATTTATTTCAGAGGTGGCTGGAGGTCTCCCGGGTGGGTTTTGCAGCCTGGGTGATGTGTGGGCACTGCCCGTGGGGGCTGGCTCCGATGCCCAGGGTGAGGACCACTGGATGCTTTCCTTCCTCGAATGCACCTATTTCTTTGGCTGAGCGAGGGGTTGCTGGAAGCTGCCTGCATCCTTCTGAAAACACTGCTGGCTTCCCAACTCCCAACTTATTTTTTTCTCAGGAGGGGACAGGGGTGATGGATGCCCCAGAGAAAGTCCTGAACTGACTTGGTACCTCTTACCCATGAGAGCATCTTTGGCATTTGTTTTGTTTTAAACTACTAAGGTGAGGCAGTGGGTGACAGCTGCCATGGAGCAGGCTGGTAACTGGTGGTTTTTTTGTTGGGTTTTTTTTTTGTTTGTTTTGTTGTTTTTTTTTTTTTTCCCCTCCATGTGGACAATGTGAACTTCTCACCAAATTTCTTTTTTTTCTGTTTATATTTTTTTATCAGATGGAAATTTTCATCTGTAAAATTAAAAAAAAGAAAAAAAAAAGTTTACAAATTACTGTGGAGCAGTTTCGGGCTGGTTTTGTCATAACATTCAGTTTGTGGTTGGCACTTCCATTGTCAGCAGTATCTTCCAGGTTTGCTCTTTGATGAGAAATACCGCCATCCTTGTCCTCCTAGGAAAGGAGAGGTTTTCTTTCAAAATTTCTGTGTTGACAGAAGCTCAGTTTTCTATTTAGACAAAAAAAAAAAAACAAACCCCAAAGGAAACATTAAATCTCTTGAGTGAACATCCCCAGCCAGCCCCGCTCTGCACATGCTGCCCTGGGACTGTGACTCTCTCCAAAGGGTTAAAGCAATTGTTCTTCACAGGGAGGGCAAACAAAGACACTGGATAGGAGCCAGAACCAGGGGTGACTTTTCATCCAATCTTTTTTGATTGTTTGTTTTTTCTGTTTCCTTGAGGATTTTTGTTTTGTTTTGGTTGTGTACAAATTGAATATGAAATGATTGAAATATTTATTTAATAAGTGCATTAAAAATTTGTATTAGTCTAACTGAGCCTGATGCTTTCCAGGGAGGGGCTGGGGCTGGAGAGGCAGGTTGGAGAGGAGCGAGGGAGGACGGTGAGGTGTAGGATGGGGCTGAGGCTGCTGCTTGGTGTGAGCCCCTTCCCAAGGGAGCAGATGTGGGAGGATGCCCTGAGATCTTGGTCTTGTGGAAATCATGGTTTTCCTTGCAGCAAATTCCAGGTTTATGGGCAGATGCCACCTCCTTGCCCTGTTGGGACAGGCCCATTGCAGGCTGGATGGGGGCATAGTGTGGCGGAGCCTTAACCACCCATTTTAAGCATGGGATGAGGATTTCCAAGAGAAAGCCGATACCTGCTCCCCTCTGGTCTAGATGAGCTTGGTGTCTGTGACAACCAAGTTGTTGGGTCCCTTCCTTTGGTGGGTACTCAGCCCTGCTGGATCTTGCTCAGAGGGGCTGGTGGGGGACTCAGATATGGTGCAGTCTCAGATATGGAAGGATGCAAGAATAAAGTTAAATATGTTTTTAAAAAAATAACAATTGTAGAAATGGAGCAGCCTCACAAGGTGAGTCTTGCCATTGCCATGCCAGCCGGGCTGGTGCTGCCATCCTCAGGGGGTGCCTGCGGTGTTGCTTGTCTGCAGGGCGCAAGGACAAGCCATCCCCTGGCTGATGCTACAGGCTAGGCTGAGCTGTCAATATAGATCATTAATTTCAAGGAAGGAAGCCTGGGGACTGAGTGCTCAGCCGTGCTCTATGTCTGAGCACCATCGCTGCATTACAGAGGTCATGGGTGATGCTTAGGCCATAGGACCGCGCTGCTAAAGGCAGACAGTGTTTGCCTGGCTGTCCAAGGACTGCAGAAGCCTGGAGCTGCCAGCGCTGGGGCAAACCCATGCTGTGGTCTCCAGACTACAGGAAATAAAAGTGAATGGCTCCTGGCCTTTCCCGAGGCAGAGATGGTGTTCGATAGTCTGTAACGGGTGCTTTTCTTTCATTAATTTGTCTAATTGTTTTTCTTAATGGCTTTGTGAACCTGGGTGAATTGGTGCTGGGTTGCTGCTCGGGATAAGGGTAGCAGAGGGGCAGGACTGGCTCCATGCAGGTCAGCAGATGTCCCCTCCCTTGTTGTCTGTCCCCCCCCAGGGACAGCGATGGCAGGGAAGGGCATGGTGTGGGTGCTCAGCCCCCAGTAAGGCTGTTCCCCCATCCCTGCCATCCTGGGGTGCAGCTGAGGGCTGGAGAAGGGGGCACCCAGCACCCTGGGGGGCTGAGCTGGGGAAGGACACCCCTGTGACCTTGCACAGCTCTGTACCACACGCCATCCCCAAATCCTGCCATCTGCTCTGCTGCAGCCTGCCTTTGCAAAAGGCACCTAGACCTGGCTCCTGGGAAGGGACCCCCTGCTTTCCCAGCTTGCTTGGTCCATGGTTAATTAGCTCCTTTTTATTAAAGGGCTTTTGGGTGGCCATGCTGCCTAGGAGCACTACAACTTGGGGCATTGTTTATTGCTTGAATTTGTCCGGCTTCAGCTTCCAGCCAGAAAACATTGTTTTGCCTTTGCTTGGAAGATTAAAGAGCCCACTACTAGTTAGTTAATGAGTAAGTGAATTAATTCATGGTTCCTCATACCCTGTCTCTGCACTGATACTGCTTACTCCCTGGCATGGCTGGAGCAGCTCACATCCTTCCTGGTGACCTGGGCCCTACCAGGTCCTGAGCACATGGTCCTCCAGAGCTGGTAGTTCCCACCACCCATGCAGGGAGCTGGGGACAGCTGCTGGTGGTACCTGCTGTTCCTCCAGGGATGCAGAAACCCTGGCTGCTGGTCAAATGCACAGGGTCAATCATCAGCCCAGGAATCTGGGACTTTTCCCTCCTCCTTCATCATCAGTGGGCGTGTGGACCAAGCTTGAGACTCACAGCCACCCAAAGGCCCTGGGGACTGTGGGACACTGAGCTGGGGCTGGACCCAGGAGAGTGCTGGGGACAGGAGGCTTTGGAGGTGGTTGTTTGCTTCCATCAACTCATGCTGTTAGCATGGGTGTTTTGGGCAGAAAACCCTGCTCCAAGCTAGCAAAGTCCTTGTGACAGGGATGTGCCTGTCCCTAGTGCCACTACTCCCAGTGTCACCCTGCAGTCCCCTCACTGCCACCGGCTGACTGGAGGGAGGTGGCAGATGAACCAGGAGAGGAGTTGTACTGCCCTGGCTGTTGGCACAGGGATGCCCCATCCTGAGCTCCAAGCAATGGTGCGTGTGTATCCCTGCCCATACAGGACTTTGCTGCATGATGCCATCAGAATACAGCGACAAGGCTGGAACTGAGCGATGTTTGGGAGAGTACCTCATGAGACGAGACCAGGAAGCCCAGCTGGTCCAGATAGCCAGCGCGGGGTAAGAAGTAAATGTGGGGCGAACACACCAGGGCAATACCAGACAGGGAGAAGAGCTATTTTCAGGTTAGATGTGGTTATGGCAGAGAAACAGCAGGCGGGCAGGAATAAATCGAAATGGCAAGAAAAGGGGTCTGTGCTGTCTGAGCAGGGGCTGCACCAGGGCTCAATCCACCAAGCCCCAAACCCTTTGGCACATGCTGTCTCCATTCCCATCCTTTCTCTCACTTTACAAACACTGCTGGCCTTCATTGCAGGGCCAACCCATGACAACTTTGCCGCGAGGTCTGCTCGGGGAAGGGTGCCCACCGAGCAGGGTGAGCTGTGTGATGCTGTGGCAGGGTTGGGGCTCGCCCTGGGCCCCCTTGGGCATGCCCCAGCTTGGGAAGAAGGACTGGGGTGTTTGTTTATTGCATCAGGCTCAGCTTTCAAACATCTCCCTGCCATCCCCCTCCCCCTCCTTTAATTAATTCTGGGTAAGAAGTCCTGGCTTTATTGTGCCACCGAGCTGAGGGCTCCCTGTGGGAAAAGTCACACCTTCTGAACAGCTTCTGATACCATGCAAATGAAGGACAAGTCCAGGAAATGCTTTCATCTCGGACCTGTCCAGCCCCCTGCCCATTAATTACACACATTTCATTTGTGTGAGAGCAATTGCTCTTGGGGAGTGGGCGGAGGAGGGCCACGGTTTGTGGATCATCTTGGCCCGCTCTCTAAAGACCCCTCCTTGGAAGGGGGTTTATAGCCAGAAACTGGGATGCTCAGGGGCTCAGTGGGGGATCCCATATTTCTGCTCTCACACAGCTCTCCAAATCAAACTGGCTCATCGTCAGGCTGCATCAGGTCAGCGGGGAGGGTTCAGCACTGCCCCACACCCTGCTTGGTGCCAGCAAGCCCCAGCTGCGGACCCAAATGCTGCAGGACCATCATGGAGGGAAGTGCAGGATGGAGCAGAAATGAGCTTGGTGCTCTGCCAAGGGAATGACTCTCCAGGGCCAGGTGCTCTCCCAAGGGAATGACTCTCCAGGGCCAGGAGCTCATGAGATGGGTAACTTTGGGCAAGATGAC